AAAAAAAAAAACGAGTACTAAGCAGCAGCCGTGGTGAGATTAATATATGGGTATCTAGGCTACCAGCTAGGCCGCCTGGGTCACCCTGTTTTCCTGGGCGGCCCGGCCGTGCAAGGACCAGGAAAGGTCCAAGCAAAAAAAACAAAACAAAAAAAGAACATCCAAAAAATGCGAAAACTTCGAAAAGAAATATACGTTATGCAGAAAAATAAACTGAACAACTTTTGCCCCAGGGTCCCATCGAAATTCGTTACCACTTTTTTTTTTTATTATTATTATTTTTTTGACCCGGCTGGGCAAATGGTCCCGGGCCACTATGGTAGCCTAGATGGGTATAAGATTTTGGAATTTGATAGGTGTCAGTGCCTATTGAGGGACCTTCAACTGTCCGGAAAGGGGTATAATTGAAGAGCCTGCCTATTGAAGTTCTTGAGAAAATTTCATCGCGTTAGGAAGGAACATAGGGGTATAGCGCAGCACAAGGAAAGTATCTGTCAAATAGTGTCTATCCTCTTGGAACCTGGTGAGGTTAATATATGGGAATATCATGGGTGTAAGCGCCTATTTAGGGATGCCACGGAATTGATACACGAGGGAGGGGATCGGAGTATCGTTGAGTTAAAGAAGATCAAGAACAAGACGGGAAACGGCAAAAGAGGAGGTTAACACAATTCTCAAGGCCCCTTGGAAAATGATTTTTTTTTTTTTTTTTCTTTCTTTTCTTCTTTCAGGGTTTTTTTTTTTTTTTTTTTTTTTCAGGTTGTTAAAATAATAATTAAAAAAAAAAAAAAGGAAAATGAAATGTTGTACCGGGAAGGGGGTTGGAAGAGTTGCTTGACATGAACCCCAGGATTGAACTGTTGAATACAGTCAGGGGCAGACAGATTATGCGGGGAATTATTACGACGGTATCGAAATAAAACTGTGAGACTAACCCCAAACACTGGATATCTGTAGAAGTTCTATTTGATGCGACTGTCTGTTATAAAGGGGCAGACATGAATGCAAGGAATGAACTGTTGAACTGTTAAATACAGTCACAGGACCCAACAAACAACTTCAGCCGACTTGTTCGTTAGCAGAATGCGTATTGTCTGACCGAAAGCCATAACAGTTGGTGATCCTCTGCATAACCATCAGTGCTTTGCTTGCAAGCATGAGCGGCTGAAGCTGCGCTAGCGAAGCCTTCGACCTCCAAAAGGTGAGAGGGCACCTCCGTCTAAGTTCGGTAGGATGAAGTTGAGGGGATTTACCAATTCATGGGTCAATGCAAGAACACCCTGTTTCCTAGCAGAATGCGACATCCAAGTATGGACGGAGGTGAGAGATGAGGTGCTCGCGTCGGACAATACAAGTTCGGTTGGATGCTGTGGCAACCTAAGGGGTCCGGTTTCGTCTAAGCAGTGAGAACACGTCAGCTATGGTGGGTGTTCGAGGGGATGATACTGTCTTCGAGTGTTGCATTTGGTAGAGGGGAGAGGCTAGAAGTTGAGCATAGAGTGTGAAGCTAGGTTATGCTGATTAAAAAAAAAAAAAAAAAAAAAAAAAACCGTCATCATCATCATCATAATCACCATAATCATCATCATTTGTGGGACGCTGGGCCCGGTTCTCAGCTTGTTCGGTTCGGTCACTCCGGGTAGACTGTGAGGACCCCGGCCTCTTCTTATTGGTAATTTCAGCCTTAAAAAAGAAAAGAAAAGGTGAGAGGCTAGGCTACCAGCCGGGCCGCCCGGGTCCTGGGTGGCCAGCCCATGCAAGGACCAGGAAAGGTCCCAGCAAAAAAAAGAAAGAAAAAGAAAAAACCGAAAAAAAAAAAAAAAAACTATGTTATGCAGAAAAAGAAACTGAACAACGTTTGCCTCAGGGTCACATTGAACTCCTTCACCAAATTTAGATTATTATTATTATTATTATTATTGTATTATTATTTTTTGGCCCGGCCGGGCACGTGACCCCGGGCCACTCTGGTAGACATGAGAGGCGACATGCTTCTGCGGAAGGATCTGAGCTTGGCATGTGACTTCCGAGTTCGGTTGGACCAAGGTAAGAGCGTGGCATGCTAGCATGAGATTTTTTCCTGCTGACGTCCGAGTCCGGTTGGATGAAGGTGAGAGCGTGACATGCTCCTGCAGGAGGATCTGAGCTTGGCATGTGACTTGCCCTTTGAACGACTGTGAGGTATGGGGTGCATTTCCTAGCATGAGTTTTTTTCAAGAAGATTGAGAGAGGGGTTGGAAGGCCTAGTGAACCAAACCCGGATGGCTGCCTGAGGAGGGCAGGGTATACCCTAGTGGAGAAAAGGACTTAGCCTAGGGTAGGGTAGGGTATACCCCAGGTTCCCAGTGTATGGAAGGGTATAGTGTAGGGTAGGGTATAGTATACACTAAGGGTAAGGTCGGGCGGGATCGAATACATCCTTGGGCTTAAGCAAGCTGTGGATGGACTCGGCCTATTGCCGTTCCCAGTTTTATATGAAGAGGCCATATTTGAACTATCATCCTCTTGCAATGGGTCAGGAGGTGCTTGTGGCAATAAGCAGAGACTTTAAAGGATAAAGGAAGGAAAGTTGGTTAACATAGCACAATGGGAACCCATGGGGTGTGTAGTAGTGTACAGCATACTGATGTACTGTCAAAGGACAAGGAAAGGAGAGACCCATAGTTATGGCATCTGCCCACCCAGCAAGAACATAGATGGGCTTGCTAGCACCAAGGTTGAACTTCATTATGATTGACTGTTAAACACTGCAATCCGGATGACGTGGGAAGTACAAGCCTTCTTAAAGAAAAGGTGGGGAAAGCTAATGAGATGACACACAAGACGGTCGGTGGGACCAGTAAGTTCAATGCGGCGACGACGTAGGATGTAAAAGAGATGTTTCCAAGATTGCCCCATTGTGAGATTATCAAAGCAGTGGACTGACCAGCGTCTTCACCCGAATAGAACGCCCGGTCACACACACACACACACAATCAGTTGTCTGAACACATTTCTTCTTTCTCGATTCTTTTCCGAGGACTTTCTGTTTCTTGGAGTGAACACCTTCAAGGAGTGCTAAACAGTAAGGGGCCGGTTGTTTGGAATGCCTTCAAGACTCTTAGGGGGGGGGGCTGCTTGGTCTGTGATATCTGAGGTGCATACGTGTGATGACAGATGTCCGTCCGAGTGACTCCCTGGCTCAGCAGGTGGTAGGAACCAACAGTCAGCGGGGTTAACTCGTGATGTAAGTAGGTGATGTGCCACTTTGCTCCATGTTGTATGCGTAGACGGCCTTGTCTACACTCCACTGCTGCCTTGTTGCCCGTCCGCTTGCTTCGCGTGTTGTCCTTTGCAGCTGCTGTGTTCACAGCTTGGTGTGGCTGCGGTGTTGCCTTCTGCTCGGTTGTTCTGCTGACTTGCCACCCCATTCGCTTGCCTTGCCTTTCACATCCTTTGCTTGTGTGCCGTGTAGTTAGCTGCATCGTTGGTGTTAGCTTGTGCTTTGCTCCGCTATTGCCGTGCTGCTCGTCTGCTTGTGCTGCCGTTCATGCAGTTTGCCTTCGGTGTTGTGCAGTTGGGTTGCTCCGGCATTTCCCATCCTTCCGAGTCTGCCGTGTTCCGCTTGTGGACAGTCTGCTTTCAACAACGGCCAAAGGGTTCATGACCCACAGGTTCAATACGGGGATTCCGGAGATTGTAGAGGGTTCAGCCTCCTGATGAGTTGTGTGTCACTACGACGGAAAAATCTATCATCATCAGTTTTTATTTTGGGAAAAGTTATAGATCTACCCCCACGACAAAACCTTTGTGAGTTTGTATTCGTTTGTCCCCAAATTCACTTTTCGAACTTTTCGTGTCATTTTTTCACCCTGGCTGTGCAAAAATGGCGGGAAAGTGTTTTACAGCGGTGGGGAAAAATGAATACAAAGGTTTTGTCGCCACGGGGGAGGGGGGGGGGGATATATCATTTATAACTTTTCTCTTTTATTTTTTCGGTCTTTGTTTGTTTGGGACTTGCATTTTTTCTTGCTTATTGGTTTGTTGCCTCGTCCCCGCTCGTCCATGCTTTGTGTTCCTGTGTGTTGTCTGCCCTCCCTCCGGCAGCCTATGTGTTGCCTCACTGCTTTAGCTCTGCTGCGTTTTGCCTGCCTGATGGTTTCTTGTCTGCCATTTGTTGTCGTTTTCTCTGCCTTGTGCACTTGTCTTCTTTCCCTTGCCTGTGCGGCTTTGCTTCTTTTGCTTCTGCTTTGGTTGTTTACCTGTGCTATACATGGTGTTGGTTGAGCATCTTTGCTGTGGACACGAGAGGCGGTTAATGGAAGGCCCAAAATTAGCCGAATTTTGGCGAATTTTTCACCGAAACTGTCATAATTCCCTGAATTTTAACTCTTTTCTCAGTTTTTCAATTTGTCTGTTATATATGTGCTTTAGGGCATATCTGTATTCAGTTTCGCTGTATTTGAAGCAGTAACAAAAAACTTAGCAAAAACACCAGACTCGAAAAAAGCTTCGGAGGACTCCGAAAGCTACTCCGAATAGGGATTTATAGTGCTCTTGAGTTTGATTTTTTTTTTTTTTTTTTTTGCCTGATTGTTTTTTTGATGTTTGTATTATGACCCTACATAGTTTGTCCGCAAAAGTTTCGACAACATTGCTTGTAGCAACGCGGCGGAAAACCCCGAATTTTTGGCCTTCCATTAACTTGGTGTCTTATGCTTGTAAGTGTGCTTGGCTGCACATCTCACGGAGTTCACGTTTTCGAGTCTGTTCCCTGGGGGAAACCATGTCTTGGTGTGAAGCTTAACGAGCTGGGGTACGTAATATACATAAACATCGCGCGCCGAGGACCATCTTTTTATTCATTGAAAATTTCAGCCGGTCGGTAACAACATAGGTCCCCGAGCCCACAATCTGAAGTGAGATAAAATGAAGCACCCACCACAACCATTAGGTGAAAATACATCGCGTCATCAGCAACAGTCAATGAAAAAAAACAGTCACACCTACGTTCCACATGACCATATGGTAGACACAATCAGTCAGGTCTTGTCTTTTTTTTTTTTTTTTTTTTTTTTTTTTCCCTTGCGGCGCAGGGACCATGCTAATCTCCTCTGTATCGTTCCAATTTTAATGGATGTCCCAAAGGACGGTCAGGTCTTCTTTTTTTTTTTTTGGGGGGGGGGGGGGGGAAGGGGGGGGTCAATCAGTCAGGTCATATTATGTACAGTCGTTGAGCAACCCAGGAACCGAAAAGCTGCAACAAGCGGTTTACAGGGACCCCCGCTTTTCAGCCCTGGTTAACCCCCTCGGCACTGGAAAGTGCATTTGGGGAGTAAATTTTTTTTTTGCCCTGTTTTATTTTTGGTCAAGGTCTGCGTGTGCTGAGTTTGGTGTTTGTTGTGAGTCTTGGAGATTACTGTTTTCCCCAGCCCCCTGAAAATCCTGAAAATCCTGAAAAATCAGAAAAAACTGAAAACAACGAATTTTGCACGACAACACACTTTTGCGTTGGGGTTTAAGACCCTTTTGATCCATTTTTTTACTTTGTTTTTTCTTTTGCTGTTCGTTTATTTGGTGTCCACTCTATGGACTGGTGACAAGTCTGGCTTAAAAGGTGTGGGACGTTTGTTATATTAATGAACCTGTAAAAAGTTAAAAACCCTCCTTACTATTTATTTCGGGCTCTGTTAACCGCTTCTCGGATTTTGGGCTGCACAACTCAGAAGGTGGTTGCAAGATTGCCCAGTGCTGCTAACTGCTGCTAACTGCTGCTAACTGCTGCTAACTGCTGCTAACTATTTGGGCTTTTGAACCATACACTACTACAGATGCAGGCAGGAGCAAGTCAAGGGAAGAGGAGTGCCAAGGCTAGGCCTAAGGAATGCCCAGTTTCTACTGACACCTCGAAGTTTTACCTTCTGATTCAGTCCTCGAGGTAAAAATTTGCCCTTGA